CCTGTTAGGGTTAGGGTTACCCATTTAGACCCTTTTTCATAAGAACCTGTTTTAGGCTAAGATTTTAAAGTAGGTTCTTAATTTTGCATGCAGATAAAGACTTAAAAAGAAACACTGGTCAAATAATTGCCTTATGACAGCCGATGGCACGCATCTTTTTGCATGTAGCCCATCATGGGTATAATTAGCCCAAATTTCAGTCCTTGTAAGAAAATTTGAACACAATTTGAATAAGTATAAGCTTATATACATATTAAAAGTAGTAACAAGAACCTATTTAAGAACCTTTTGAGCATAATTACTGTATGTTAGTTATGAAGTGCATGTACCTGGTCATTATATACGACAGCCAGTATGGCGACTGGCAAGACTTGGCAGCGGCCAGAACGAAACTACACTTANAGCCGGTTATAGCCGGTTATAGCCGGCCGAGCTGCAGGATACGAGGCTATATGCATATAGACTACAGTAAAAACCCGCGTATAAGAACATACATTTTTCCAAGTTAGCCTCAACATGTTCTTATATAAATTGGTGACTTACTGAAAAATTAGGCTCAAAAAGGTTCTTAAATCTAACTTGGAAAAATGTATGTTCTTATACGCGGGTTTTTACTGTAGTCTATATGCATATAGCCTCGTATCCTGCAGCTCGGCCGGCTATAACCGGCTATAACCGGCCTAACGGCTAGACTCGTACCCCGTCGACAGTTGCACACGCTACACTAACTAACTTCAGTGTAGCAAAGGATACTTGCCTGAGTGAAGGTGGCAAACGGGTACCAGTCTAGCTATAACCCCCCAAACTGCATCCAGAGCCCGTTCGCGATTATTTTTTACGTTAACGCGTCAGCGCTCGCTATGCGTATTGGGAATGCTTGCGTCACAGGTCAACAGAGATGGTGGTGTCCCCATAAACACTCTTTACTCCACTACACAACAAATTGTGTTTACACAGGTCTTCTAACCCTAGCAAAGACCGTTTCATGGAGCTAGTAGTAGTACTAGCTCTAGTACTATACTATATAGTATTAGTACTAGTAGTAGTAGCTCTAGTACTATAGTAGTAACTAGTAGTAGGAGTACTAGTAGTAGTAGCTCTAGTACTATAGTAGTAACTAGTAGTAGGAGTACTACTACTAGTAGTCTAGTAGTGCGAGCCAACGTACACCCCAGTAATAGGGGTGATGATAAACCCGCACTCTGACATTAGCAAAGCGCAGTTATAACGTCTTCATTTGCGGACTAGGGATGCATATGATATAAGGCAAGGTCACATAGATCATAGAGATGCTACATAATGTATTGTTTATATATACAAAAAAAAGCTCTCCGCAAATGATTAGATACTATATATAATGCTAATGAAGTAAGCTGTATTCAAATGCTGCACTTTCGCCTTACTGCTGTCATCGAAAATCGAAAATCGAAATACTAACTCGTTCGTACACTCACGATACCACTGCCACATTGCTAGCACTATTTTTAAATTGGGCGGAGCTCCGGGGAAATGCAGCGAATGGCGATTGTTAAACAGCGTATGATTTGAAAAAGGTAACTGGGCGCACAATCCGATACTATTTCGTATCACTATTTTATCAAATTTTCCATTAAATAATGGTCTGATTTTTATTGTTTCCAAGTTTTTATGTTTGGAACTTATAGTCAAAACGTCTAAGACCACACGGAAATGGAACCACAGCGAAATCAAAAGCTTCGCTCTCGCCCCCCCCCCCCCGCATCTGTACGACCCCCATCTAAGTCGCGAGTTCCTCGCACGTCCCAAATGTCTACACTCTGTGTCCCCCACTAAAATTGCGGACTGTTTGCTGGCAGCTATGGATCCGAGCGCCGACCTATGCATTCGGCGCACGGATCCATAGCTGCCAGTGCTGCATACTTTCGTAGGACGTTCCCGCGGTTGCATGCACCTTGCCGCGGAACTGCGCGCAACATCCGCGCTCAGCGGTTAGGATCAACACCTCCTTTCGGCAACACTACTCTGGTATCCCGTCTCATCTGGTTTATTTGTGCTGTGATTGCGTGAAACGAAGCGAGCGAAGTGCAAATTTTTCGGTCATGCATTCCCACCTGCTCTACATTCTCTACAGCGTGCATGCGGCGTACCTCTTTATTGCAGAGGAGCATTTCAACAGCATTTACAGGAAATCATCAGTAATAAAAGACGAAAGAGAATAAAGAAACCAAAAACATTGGTAGTAAATACATATTGTGCTTATTCAGGCGCCGTGGAACGATTTTTGAGCCGATTCAGAATTTCACGGAGGGTGGTGAGAATCAGTATGGGAATCCTCCTACAGAAAATTTTGAAAATGTAGATCGCAGGAGAGGTATACTTGACAAGTATTTGAGGCACTTGTGAGTACATGTACAGGCGTCATTCTGACTACGACAATTCTCTTTTTAGTAGAACAATTCTTGCACTTGCCGCGAGGCATTGATTGATGTTCAAGGGGCATTGTTTTGGTCACGTTCATTATAGCATCATAGGACATTTCGGCCACGGTCATTTCGGCCTAGTACTTTTCGGCCGCATATTTTCAACAGATAGGACTTTTCGGCCAAATTCAAAATTTGTTTGTTTGTTTATTTGTTTGTGTAATGTTGATTTTTTTTTGTCATTAAATCCTAAATATAATTACAGAAATATTATGGATGGCACTAATGTATGTTAACTGGGATAAAAAGGTATTTTGGAAAAATTTGTTGAATTTGGCCGAAAGGTCCTAACCCTATCTGTTGAAAATATGTGGCTGAAAAGTCCTAGGCCGAAATGACCGTGGCCGAAAAGTCTGTGGCCGAAATGTCCTTGCCGAAAAGTCCTACATTCATTATAGAGCACTGAAGTGTGACGTCACGGTGGCATGACAACGAACCCACTGGTTCTAAACAATCATTGGCTCCGTAACATTAACTGCATGAAAATGATGCTGTGCGTACGTAAACAACGTATTAGCCTGCGAGCCATGCAGCCGTGATATGCACGGTCAGTTTTTAAACTGCACAGCCAAAAAACAAGTGCCGCAGTGCGACAGGGCTCATCTGGTGTCTGGTGTTTTGCTGATAAATTCATTTGTGCATAGCAAGACGTCTTCTTGTTTGACTTTCGTAGCCAATTCGAACAAATATATCAGCTACACTTTCGCACCCACCTAATCTCTATGCATTGCAGACACATGTGCATTGCAGGTTGGCAGGCAACAATTATGATTAGAAGCGTGCCAGCCATGGGCTGCCCCTTGTTTTTGCCTACCCACGCGAGCATTCACTGATTCAGCCTTCAGGGTGCTATAGACAGACTGCTTTAGAAAACTAGAAAGGCAGTTGTCTCCAACTACATGTATCCCCCGTGTTCTCCCCAAGATGTGTAAGTGTACGAAGTTTGGTCGCACTAGGTCAATTAGGGGCCAAGTTATAGAGTGGAAAGGAAACATCATAAAGGTCAAGGTCAAGGTCAATGTCAAACAAAGGTTGCAGTGACCTGGTTTTGGTATGTGACACACCTTCTCCCCAAGATGTGTAAGTATACCAAGTTTGGTCATGCTAGGTCAATTAGGGTCAGAGTTATAGAGTGGAAGAGAAATATGATCAAGGTCAAGGTCAAGGTCAAATAATAGCTGCAGTGACCTTGTTTTGGTACGTGACACGCATTCTCCCCAAGATGTGTAAGTATACCAAGTTTGGTAGCGCTAGGTCAATTTGGGGGCCAAGTTATAGAGCGGAAGGGAAATATGATCAAGGTCAAGGTAAAGGTCAAATAAAGGGCGTAGTGACCTGGTTTTGGTAACGCTAGGTCAAGTAGGGCCCGAGTTAGAGAGCGGAAGGGAAATATAATCAAGGTCAAAGTAAAGGTCAAATAAAAGGTCGCAGTGACTGGTTTTGGTACGCTGCTCACCTTCTCCCCAAGATGTGTAAGTATACCAAGTTTGGTAGCGCTAGGTCAATTAGGGCCGAGTTAGAGAGCGGAAGGGAATATGATCAAGGTCAAGGTAAAGGTCAAACAAAGGTCGCAGTGACCTGGTTTTGGTACGCTGCTCACCTTCTCCCCAAGATGTGTAAGTATACCAAGTTTGGTAGCGCTAGGTCAATTAGGGGTCGAGTTATTGACCAGAAGGGAAATTCTCTGCGGCAGACCGAGCGGCGGCGGCGGCAGCGGCGGCGGCGGCAGCGGCGGCAGCGGCGGCGGCGGCAGCGGCGGCTGGGGAGACATGAAACCATAGTATCCCCGCCGACTTCGTCGTGGGGGATACAATAATATGATTTAAGGAGCATAAACCTTGTTCAACAAACATTTGCCTTGCAATTCAACTGTCCAACTGTAGCCTCACATTCACACAGGTATGGGCTCTTTTACTCTCATCAGACAGTCGTTTTCAGTAGTTTATTCAGTGAAAAACTAAAAATGAAAATTCAGAGAATAAATTCTTACAACATACTACAGCTGTACCCTATGTAAACATTGTTCTCTTAGAAACCCGCGCGAATATAATATAAACTCCAATTGAATGTAATTTAGCTATCAGATTGAACGTACACCTATTCTGCATCTACGTCAACACTATGAATATGACACATGCTTTCTGAAGTTGTAATAACACTGCAGTAGAACGTTAGAACTAAATAAACTTACATTTTGGCATGCCGACGCTCGATGGGACACACAGTAGCGGTGACACCGACAGTAGTAAACGCGCGAAGCAAAACAGGCTTTACATACAAAGGGTACGCTATGAAACGCGGGAATTAAACATGTGGCGCCCTCACCACTAAACTGATTATTCAAACTGGTACAAATACTAAACGTACTGTACAACGACATATAAATACTGCTGCGATGAACAGAACACTCCCCGTCTGATATTGTCAAAATATCATTCGCAATACCTATGATTATAAAGAATACACGAAATCGCATTTCACAAACTATTCTACTAAAAAATATCCAATATACGCAACATAAACATCTCTCTGATCTTTAATTCAAACTGAATCACTGGGCACGAGCAACACCAGTTCCGTAATGGGTCGGGTGTACACAGTAGGTCTCCCACTCTCTGCGATGATCCGAACCTCTGCGGAGCGGACTTTCTCATCCGCGCTGGGCAGCACTCGAACTAGCACACCAGTGGGCCACGAATTCCTAATGACGTCCTTGTCTTTCAGGAGGACAATATCTCCTGGCTTCATATTTCGCTGGTCTTCTGTCCATTTCCGACGACCTTGCAATGTGTGCAGAAACTCACACCTCCAACGCTTCCAAAACAGGTCTGCTAACAACTGTACTCGCTTGTATTGAGCTTGGTACAAGTTCTTTTCTGGGTTAGAATCAGTGACGGACTCAACGGATAGGGATTTTGTGGATCAGAAGATAATGGAGCTAGAGGACGTGAGTTTATGATGGCAGTGACCTCAGCGAGAAACGTGGTTAGTACCTCGTGGGTGAGACATCCCCTCGCTGTGTTCAAGAGCAAGGAGTCTAAGATTCTGCGAGTCACGCCAATCATGCGTTCCCACACTCCTCCCATGTGTGAAGAATGTGGAGGATTGAAGATCCAGATAGTGTCGTCTTGGTGTTTCCAACCTCTACGTTAATTCCTAGCTCTTCTGTAGCGCCAACAAAATTTGTCCCTCTATCAGAACGGAAAAGCTTCACCTTTCCTCTTAAGGCGACAAACCGCCTGAGCGCATTTATGAAAGAAGAAGAGCTCAGTTCTTCAATCACCTCGATGTGCACTGCTCTAGACACTAGGCACGTAAACATAACGGCCCATCGTTTACTATTTGCTTGTCCACCCCGAGTGCGACGCGTCACTACTTGCCAGGGGCCAAAGCAATCGACTCCAACCGTCGTGAATGGGGGGCCTGGCTGAAGACGATCAGTGGGTAACTCGGACATTTTTTGGAAACAGAGTTTGCCTCTCAATTTGCGACACGTGACACATTTATGGATGATGGAAGATATCAGCCGCTTGCCTCCTGTTATCCAATAACCTGCTTCTCTGACGGCTCCCTCCGTTATGTGACGTCCTTGATGGCAGACACTTTCGTGACAGCGACGGATAAGCAAAAGAGCAATGTGATGTTTCCCAGGTATGAGTATGGGGTTCTTCTCCCGTAGAGGAATTTCAGCTCTTCCACCGACACACAATAAGTCTTCATCATTAATGATTGGAGACAGAGATGCTAGAGCACTGTTCTTAGGAAGGGAATTTCCTCTTTGTAGGCAAGCAATTTCCTCGCTGTAGAATTGATGTTGTACTGCCTTCAAAATGGATGTTTCAGCCGCTCTAAGTGAGGCCACCGTCTTAAAAGACGTGCAGGTGTGCCAACCATGACATATCTCACTTTTGTCCAACCTAAATCCTGCTGCAATGTGCCGAAGGTAGGCAATTGCTGTCACCAGATTTTTCATACTCGAAAATCGCTCTGCCCTACCCATGTCAAGTGTAGTTGCAACGTGGTCGTCCAATTGCGATTTGTATACTTCAACATCTGGTCGCACTTCCTTGTCAGTATCAGGATTAACAACGTCAAAGTTTTCCTCCAGCGGTGGTACATCTTCTCCCAATAACAACTGTTGAGTCCCGTGAAGCCATGAATTGTCTCCAAGCAGGGCGGATGGGATGTGTCGGGTACCATGATCAGGTGGGTTCTGTACTTGTACGTCTTTCACTCATTCCTTGTCCATCAATTCAAGGAATGCTCGATCTTCTCTCGCTAATCCTCCCTTCTCATCATCCTTCCTCCGAGCAAAAACATCTTTTTCAATATCGACGTAATCCTTCCTTGCAGTTTCAGTGTCGAGTGAAAGATGCCTGCTTTTACTACTCGGATCTATGCGCATGATGAATTCGTTCGTACATGGCGGAAACAATGATGCCCGACCGTTGCTCAGTACGTGGGTCTTGTAGGAATGCACTTTGTCTGGGAAGGGACGGTGAACTCTACCGAGGCATGTCTCTCCAACGATCACCCATCCAAGACTCAACCTCTGGGCATACGGCGACCCTTTAGGCCCTATTCTTTGATCCAGAACATGATGAGCTTCTGTCAGGTCTCTTCCTATGAGCAACAGTATTTGTGTATCTTGTTCGAGCTTGGGAATCATACAAGATATGTCTCGTAAATGTGAATGACACATTGCCGCCTCAGGAGTAGGGATTTCATCTCTTATATCAGGGATTTCGGAACATTCCGTAAGTACAGGTAGATCTAGGACTGTCGTACTGTTCACACTTTTTACGACAAATCCCTCTGCTCTGCGTCCTGATGCGTCTATCATTCCCACGCAGGAAGACAAGGAATATGTTACCTGGGGGTAGTCGCCTGTAAAATGCTGAAAGAATTTTGGTTTCACCAAAGATCGATTACTCTGGTCATCTAATAGTGCATACATCCTCTTGGATTTCCCATGATTGTTTTTTAGGTACACCTCAACCAGAACCACATTAGCGCATGATTTCCCACTGAAGTTTTGTCCACAAATTAGAGCGCATGCTGAATTGATGTCCTCTGACTTCTTCCCATTTGGTGCATTTGGGTATCGTCCATGATATATACTCAATGGCTCCCCGCCGTGACTTACCGAACTGCTAAATGGTTGCTTAATCTCGTTGTAGTCGAAGTGTAGAGCTGTTGAATGTTTGTCCCTGCCACATTCCTCACACTTGATGACTGATCTACAATATTGACGTCTGTGCTCTGGAGAACAGCAGCCAAAACACAGATTCTTTTCCTGCAGGAATTTTCTTCTTACGTCGATAGGTTTATCCCGGAACTTCCTGCACTGGTCCAGCGAGTGTCTAGTGTTGTGTAGGGGACATAGATTGGCATCTCGACTGAATGAGGTGGCGAGGTCTTGGTCCACATTAGTCTTCCTAGCACTAATTTCAGGTGGACTTCTCCGTGTTGCTTGGAAATTTCCCCGGATGGCTTAGCGCCAGCATATGTAAAGCTCGGATTATTGCGGATCTTGCTTTGTTCCCGGAGAAACTGGGCAAAGTGACTGAAGGGAGGATAGATTACTTGGTTTCGCTCAATGTATCTAACTGCGCTTGTAGTCCATTTTTCCTGCATGTTGTAAGGTAGCTTGTTTGCAATGGGTGTAACACCAGATGATGAATCAAAATAGCCTAGTAGTGACTGATACCGTGGATCTTCTTTGATGGATTCAATTTCTGAGACGATGTCTGAGAGCTCATAAAGCTTCTTTGGTTCTTTGATGGTCAACTTTGGAAAGCTGTCTAACTTTCGTCGTAGCGAGGACTCGATCATCTCTGGAGCACCATAGCGTTCGTCTAGCCGCTCCCAAACTCTTTGTAAACCTCGCTGTGGATTATGCATATTTGCATCCTTCAGGCTTCTAACCTGTCCCTGGGACTCAGGTCCTGCCCATTTCTGCAGAAGATCCAATTCCTCTAAGGGTTTGACGTCCAGCTCTCTCATCCTTGACTGAAAGCTCATTTTCCATGTGTTGTAGGACTGCGGCTCATCATTGAATTTTATTAGGCTTGTGATAAGTAATTCTTTTTTTAACAGGAAGCTGGTAAAATCCGACGCAAGTACCCACTCTTTCTTTGCCATAGCGGGCATTTGTTCATGTTGTGGAGGTATGTACGGGGGCACTGTTGGGTCCAGCGGTAGACTAGCAACGTAATTTGTAGTTCTTACATCAGCAAATTCGTTGGGTAGAGAGTCTACTGCTTCCTTTGATATTTCAGATTTCTCCTGTCGATCCGATGCCATATCAAGTGCATCTGCTTCCACCTCAGCGGCTGCCAAATCTTTCTGGGCTCCTAAAGCCTCGAGGTCGGCTTCAAGAGCAGCTTTTCGTTTTTTTAACTTGGCCTCCTTTATGGCAAATGTCACCCGTGCCTTTGCTGCTTCAGCTTTTGCTCTCTTTCTGTCCGCTAGCGTAGTCTGAGAACAATACGAGCTTAACGATGCTGAGCTTCTGACCCTACGTTGCTGTTGTTTAATACTGGGCTCTGGTGCAGGGCGTTCCACGGACGGCATGGTGTACTCTACTGTAGTAGTGTCCTCGTCTGTGGCCGACATCTTTAAATGGCCAATTTTTTCACTTTACTGTCATCAGATAGAGAAAAAAGGTAGGAGGTCTCGTTTTCAGTAGTTTATTCAGTGAAAAACTAAAAATGAAAATACAGAGAATACGTTCTTACTACATACTACAGCTGTACCCTATGTAAACATTGTTCTCTTAGAAACCTGCGCAAATATAATATAAACTCCAATTGAATGTAATTTAGCAATCAGATTGAACGTACACCTATTCTGCACCTACGTCAACACTATGAATATGACACATGCTTTCTGAAGTTGTGATAACACTGCAGTAGAACGTTAGAACTAAATAAACTTACATTTTGGCATGCCGACACTCGATGGGACACACAGTAGCGGTTACACCGACAGTAGTGAACGCATGAAGCAAAACAGGCTTTACATACAAAGGGTACGCTATGAAACGCGGGAATTAAACATGTGGCGCCCTCACCACTAAACTGATTATTCAAACGGGTACAAATACTAAACGTACTGTACAACGATATATAAATACTGCTGCGATGAACAGAACAGCCCTAATAATAGCAAAAGCAGTTCAGTCCTTTGTTAACAGTCAACAAATCAATGTTTAACCCTCCTCTTGAGGGTCAAAAGGTTAATGATATTATTAACTACACAAGGTATGCAGCTTACTTGTAGCCATTCGTAAATATTGCATAATAATGGTGAAGTTATCGGTTTAGCCGACCCCACGCGCTGGTATCCTGATACAATCGCGTCAGCTGCTTGCATGACATCTTTCCATATGCAATTCCGCAAAGCTACAAATGGTATGCTTAGAGTGCGTCCTCGTCTCATCAACACTCCTCGTCGGTGACAACCAATATGTGGTTGTCAAGGATCCGGTTTGCACGTGCTAAGTGAAACAGATTGGTACCATTGCTATGCCATATTAATGCTCTTGCAGGTATATACGTGATATGTATGATCATCTACTGATATTGTTTGTTGTTATTATTTGTTACATATATATAATATATGTTTAATCTACATAAGATATAAAATATTAGTCACTTTTAATGTTAAAATATAAAAGCTGACATTTGTGGTCAGTTATACCTAGCAAAAAATATATAAACATGTATGGACTAATTATTGCATATATAGATATTGTATTGTCATAAATAAGCATTATACTTAACCTCTTTGTTGTCGCTCTTGTTGCGGGGTTGCGGGTGGCTGGGCTTGACCCACGTCATGCGCTGCAGGCTGACACTACTAGCATCTCATGTACTCCACACACTGGCCGAGCGACGGCCAGCGTACACGCTCTACGACGCTGAGCGATAGTCTGCCGGCATACAGTGGCAACTGGTACGGGGCTATAGTATCATCGTGTACGTACATACTACTAGAGCTAGAATGCATTGATGTGGTTAACAGACTCGGACCCAGGCTTTGCCGACTTTAACCAGTGCAGAACTATTCGCCATCGTCACTGATTAATCGCACGAGAAAGCGAACTGTGGTCGCAGAATAGCCCGGCTTACTACTCTTGTGACTTCGATACTCGTTTATATCATGATGACATTGCTTGACCTAGGCCTCGCGCGTGTATGATAGCGACTATACAAAAGAGACACAAGAATTACTACCGTCGGCTATGCGTTATGAGAGTCACGAGTACCCAAGATGCGAAACAAGTACCCTTCTGTCAATCTTATGTAACCTGCGTCCCCTAGAGACCGACTTCTGTGAGAGGCTACCGACGCTTAAAACCTATTCTCTAAATCTTGCGGAATTATTACCACTACAAAGGCAGGTTACATGTTTGAACTCTACCAGAGCTTAATACCTCCAAATACAAGTCACACTGGTGCAGCAACTCCAAGATGTAAGCATTTTGATCTAATCATCGTGACAGGAGCTAAGACTCTGCGATTAACCCTTGCTCGTACATATCTGCCAGAAACCGTTCGCAAACATCTTCGCACCGTCGGCAGCAACTGTCGCATTTTCCAAACAGATTCGCCGACCACGTCGTACGTAGCACGGCTGGTCTGACCGACGCAGAACCCGATAGCATGTCTTTTCCTCGAAAGAGTGGAAAACACGGTTTAGAATACATAAAAGAAAAGTTCATATCTGGTATTGGCCGTCGCCAGAGAAGAGTGAACCAGATTGGACTAAGAACACTGGAATCTTTTCAGGTAATTCGTCCCCTGCTATCCGTTTAAAGTTCATCTTTGTAGTATACATCCCAGACTTTTCAAGCCCTACTACCCGCTGTTAATTGCATTGCGGTGTTCATTATTGTCATTGTACACAGTGAAGGGTATACGATGGGAAAGAAGGATGAAAGAAGGGAAAGGTAGATAAAGATGGGGCAAATGGTTTACGGGGGGTGCGAACTTAAAGGAGCATAAGTAATAAGGTATGGAGAAAGAAAATGTACGAGAGGGTGGCGAGAATACGTAGAATGTGTACGATGGAAGACCGTAAGTGATGTAGAGAGGAGACGTGGAGGAGGTAGAAGAGAGACGCTGGGCGGTAGAAGGGAGACGTGAGAGGTAGAGGGGAGAAGTAGAGGAGGTAGAAGGGAGAGCGTAGAGGTAGGTAAAAGGGAGACGTAGAGGCGTAGAAAAGAGACGTAGAGGAGGTAGAACGGGAGACGTTGGAGAGGTAGATAGAGAGCAGTAGAGGAGGTTGCGGGAAGACGTGGAGGAGTAGAGGGGAGACGTAGAGGAGGTTTGAAAGATGCGTGGAAGAGGTAGAAGGGAGACCGTAGAAGCTAAAAAGGGATGACGTAGAGTGAGGTAAACGGGAGACGTAGAGGAGGTAGAAGAGAGACTAGAAGAGGCTTGAAGGAAGACTGGAGAGTAGTGAAGGAGACGTAGAGGAGGTAGAAGGGCAGACGATAGAGAGATAGAAAGAGACGTGCGAAGGAGGTAGACAGGGAGAACGTAGTACGGAGGCTAGAAGGGAGACGTAGAGGAGGTAGGACAAGGAAGACACGGTAGAAGGAGGTTGAAGGGAAAGCACGTAAGAGGAGGCTAGAAGTGACACTATGAGGAGGTGACAAGGAGACGTAGAGGCGGTAGAAAACACCGAGACCGTAGAGGAGTAGAAGGGATGACGTGAGCGAGCGTAAAGAAGATACGTAGAGGTGAGGTTTGAGCGGAAGACGTGGAGAGTAGAGGGAGACGTACGTAGGAGTGAAAGATGACGTGGAAGAACGCTAGAGAGGGAGACGTGAGAGGGAGTAAGAGAGGGACGACGTAGAGGACGCGTAGAAGGGAGACGTAGAGGAGGTGAAGGAAGACGTAGAGAAGGTAGAAGGGAGAAACCGTAGAGGACGGTAATCAGGGAGACGTAGAGAAAGGTAGAGAGGGGACGGCATGGACAGCGAGGTAGAACGAAATACTATTAGAGTGAAGGTAAGACAGGAGACGTTCGAGCAAGGTAGAATGGCAGATGTAAGAGAGGCTAAAAGGAAGGCTAGATGATGGTAGAAAGGAAGCGTGGAGGCGGTAGAAGGGAAGACGTAGAAGAGAGTAGAAGGGGACGTAGAGGAGGTAGAAGGGAGACGTAGAGGAGGATAGAGGGTGACGTATAGGCGAGGCAGGTAGAAGGACAGAACGTAGAGGAGGTAGACAGCAGACGCAGAAGGAGGTATAGATACGACCGGTACAACTGCCGTCGCAGAGTAGGCTTCTATGAACTTATAGCCCGTCTGCTCCGGCCGCAGGAGTATGTCTCTGGCGGCGGAGCAGAGGGCTATAGTTCTAGAAGCTACGTCAAGAGGAGTAGAAGGTGACGTAGAGGAGAGTAGATGGAGATGTGGACGGCGGATAGAAGGAAGAAGTAGAGAAGGTAGAAGAGA